GGAATGCAGTGCATAGTTTTAGTTAGATATGGAAAAGTGCAGGCTTTATATTAAAGGTTCATTTCTTTTTCATCGTTCACCTAACTCATTTGCACTGTAATGTACTTTCCTATTCCTCCTCCTGATAGTTGCTGCTTTTATATCTATTTTGCAAGCCATATTTTCAGTCTAATCCATACAGCAGTTGTCTAAAATTCCATAGCATTGCTTATTTCTTACCTATAACTCTTAATAAAAAATAGGGCTGTGCCAACCTATTATATCCTTAATAGAATATTCTAATGGTTATTAAATCAATTGACTCTGAATCTCACTTTAATAAATGAGTCAGACAGTATTTTCCAATTACTGTCAGCCGCCACCTTTCCAAAGAGCAGATTATTTTGATTGAATTTTTTAAAGCTGTTCAGCACTTTTTTTCTTTTTTCTTTTTTTTTTTTTTCCCCCTGAGTAAGAGCAAAGAGCAGTAGCTCTGTTCTGCAGGGAAGGTGAGCCTCTTGGACTGTATCTGACACTCCATTCCATTTCAGATTTATCCCAAATGGAAACTGAAAATGTGACATTTCACCAGCCCTTTATTTATTAATGATATCATACTTTGCACTTCCACAGCACCCTATCAAATTGTTTGCTAAACATGAAGAGCTAGACAGGGACCAGCATGTAAAAAGAGCCTTTTGCATCCTTTTTCTCATCTGGCACCTTTGCAAGAGCTGCCACACCCTGGCTCTTTCATGCCAGTGGGAGATAAAATGCTGGCTGTGCTTTTAAATTCTCTATGGAGAGCAGAGCCCAGGGATAAAGCCTTGTTCCCTCATCCTTCTGCAGTGCTGTGTGACCCAAGCAAGCAGGAAGATTTGTGCCCAGACATGTTATCTTAAACCTTTTCAAAGGCAGATGGCAGATTCTGGGTCTTGTGTGTATGGTAGATAGTCCTGGACTCTTCTCCAGCTCCGCTGTCCCGGTTGTATTAAAAGTCTTAAGGGATACTAATTAGGTCAGCCTATTCAAGTAGAAATTAAAAATTAACACCTCTTCTTTAAAGATGGGTAGTCTGAGAAACACAAGCCATACTGTCATGCCCAAGGTGATAAGAGTAAGTCAGTGTCAGAATTTGGAATGGAACCCAGCACTCCTGGCACTTCTACAAATCTGTAACCTTATCTGTCTCCCTTAAATTTAAATCATGCTGGTCTCACGTTCTTGAATTCAAGGACTGGAACCTTGCCCTTTGTTCCAAGGATGTAGCGCAGGGCAGGTGATGTGCACAAAATGGGTGAAAAAGAGTGTGAGTGGGGGTTTATAACTCCCTGAACAGTGAGACTTAGAAAAAAAATTATTCTATTAGTTATACAAATGTAGTCATATTTTAAATGTGGTCTTTAGAACTAGGAGACTAAAAACATTTTATTTTTAAGAGGAAGCTTAGATTCTGCACAAATTGATGTCTCTTGCCTGGGGAAGTTTCCTATCTGCCCCAGGCGAGTGGGTGAGGGGATTTTTCAAACCCTGTTTATAAGCCTTTAGGAAAATCAGATTTGCAACATACAGTAATCAAAGTGGTTTTGATGTTTGTGACCAGGAGATCGCCTTGGATCCGAGTGATATGGAAAATACAATAGGGTCATATTTAATGGGGTTCAGTTCTTCTTGAACAAGTACAAATACTGTGTAACTAAAATGAGTTTTGCTTCAGCATCAGGAGTGCATGCCTACCTTCCCACTTCTTCCTTATTAGCTAAGGTAATGGAAAGACAAAAAAGCTTTCTCTGTCTTCTGTAGTTCCATACAAAAATATTTCTTTTTAGGAAGTCTTTCTCCCTTGGAATGTTTGAAGAACTCCCTGTTCAGTGTCCCCATGCTCAAGAATGATTAGCATGGTTCATTTACACTTTGCCAACAGTAACTCTGTGATTTGAGAACTGGCATTGATTATCTTCACCTTGACATGCGGAAGATCCTGAGATGGAGGTCCCTTTGACCTAATTGCTTTGACTGTGTATATCAGCACAAACAGTTTGGTGAAGAAACTTCACCCTACAGTGTTTCTAGCTCCTAATTACCCTTAGTGGGGACTTGCACTGTCGTCAGAACTATCTGGTAGTGACCACGGCAAGGATCTGGATGTAGGAGAAATGATCAATCATGTGTGGTACTCTGTACGTTCCTCGTAGTTGACTTGCAAGTTCAGGAAAGAAGAGGCATTTACGTATGGTTTGTTGAGCCTTCCTCTTGTTTTCAGGATGCTGTTGTGCAGCTTTGCCCGCAGCTGTGGGTTCCTGCCTGTTGGGAAAGCGCAGCATACAGCCTGCCTCGTGGGATGCGACCGTCTCTCTTAGATGTGCAGGCTGGTGCGTGCCAGGTTCTTTTCCTTCATGCTTCCCTTGACGGTGCTTGCACGGGCCACGCTTGTCTTCTCTCGGCAGTAGGAAAAGCAGAACACGGTGGAAGGGTTTGTCAGTCATCGTGGAAATCCCAGACAACTCTTGAGAATCCACTAAAGTTTTCCCTGCTAAGGAAATAGTTAGCATATATTTGATAAATGGTTGCTAATTTATCTATGAAGAGTTACGAAAGGTGTCACCTACCCCTAATCTGCCCTGGGAGTCTTTTGCACAGTGTGTTCAGCCAACGGTGCCTACCTACCGTTATGTCTGGCTGGGTGGGACATGTACCTCAGCAGCCTGTCCTCCACTGCCTCTGTGTTCTAGTCTCTCCAGGGGGGCTGTGGTGGCGGAACAGCTGAGATGATAGACCTGAGCCTTTGCCTGAGTTTGTACTGACGGCCGTCATCAGCGGATCCAGCTATAAATTAGTGCCCAGTCAGGTGGGCTGGGAGTCAAAAGCAGCAAATTTCTTTTGTCTGATGTGAGTAAGGGAGACAGGCACCTCAGTGGCAATAGTCTTGTGGGCACAGGGTCACTGGGACCACTGATCTTTTTCAGGTGGCTCCCAGAGCAGACCGGCCATTTCACACCCCTCTGATAGCTCTTCAGCTTCTGGAGGCAGGCAGGAACATTGAACAGTGCTTTAATGAAGGACTGGGTAGAGGATGAAGGGAAGTCTGTGGTTTGCTGTGGGAGTGCGCGGGGGACACTCCACCATGTTTGTCTATACCCGTGGCACCACTCTGTTGCACTAAGACTGACGGGAAGGCAGAAGAGTTAAAAAAATGGCCACATGCCAATGTGTCCATTTTAAAGAGCGAAAATAGGGTCCTACATTCCTCTCACAGTCGCTATGTGAAAAACATGGTTTTACCGTGAAAGGCAATGGAGGCACCGTATATACAAACGTTATGAGAGCTAGGTGTTCAGTGAAGAGAGAGCTCCCCAGTTATGGGCTAGTCATCAGGGTAGAAATTTTTGTAGTCAGTGTATTTTTACCTGTTTACTCCAAAGGAGACACGGCACCACCCCACCCCAATTTTGTGTAAATCTTTTGGCTTCGTTGGTTTTCGACTGCCCCTTACCTCCTCATTATAAGGAGCTCTGACACCTTGTAGAAAACCACACAACGGTAGTTTTCAGTAGTCCCACCTGCAGAACGGCCACCACCGCCTGGCTTAGCTTGCATTGGCTAAAGCCCACAAATTCCCACCCTTTGCTAAAGATACCATGATTTACATGAAGGCTAAATTTAGCTTTTGGACTAACAAGAAGTGAAAGCTGAGGGCTACGATTGAACTTTTTACAATTCTACTAAGTTACTAAAGGTCATTTTGAGAGGGCATGTGGCTCCACTCGGTTACAAAAGCACCGTGTCATGTTGTCTTTACATTGGTGGGGAGGGTTGTTGTGTGGAGTACAAAACGTCATCTCTGCTGTCACCGTCTACAGCAACTGCCAACCGCGACCGTCCGTCATTACGGTCACTAATCAGCGCCGGCAGCGATCTCTTCGGCAGGAGGTAGGCAGCGTGGCATTTAGGTGCTCGGGGTAGGCAGGGTGTTCTCCTAAATCGCTCCTTTTCACCTGAGAAACAGTAAGGAGCTGTGCCAGTCTCCCAAGCGTTTTATTCCCGCTTGATTTTTAATAATCGGATACAGTATTTACCTGCGAGATCAATGCTACTCGTGTAGCACACCGGTGACATACAGAAGGACCTTTTCTAAGCTGCGCTGTGGGAATTGATGCCTCTGCAGCAGGGCTGGAAGCCACTTCTTACCTAGCAACTGTTTCTAAGTAGGACAGCCGTTGACTGCCCTCATGGCGGAGTGGATGAATCCTGCAGCACCCTCAGGAAGGGAACCTGGTGCCAGGCACCAGCCGGCCTTCGGAGGACAATGGGAGGACAATGGGAGGAAGCGGAGGAACAAGCGGCGGGGAGTAGGAAGGGTTTTAAAGCCGCAGGACGTTGACGGGAAAACTGCGTCAGGAGGCACGCAGGGACTTTTCTGAGCTGTTAAGAGGAGAAATGCAAATAAAGGGGAAAAAAAAATATAAATCTAGGATTGTCGGAAAGGGAGCTGAGAAATCCTGCAGCTTGCAAAAGGTTTTGCATATACCCCTGGGACTGGAGACGTGGAGCAGGAGTGATGTGAGGGTATAAACTACCCTCCCCTCTCACGCTGGTTACAAGAAACTCCATGTCACCCAGAGTGCCAAAAATGTGTGCGTTCACCGTTCTTACCCGTGGTAGATGGGATGATGTGTCATCAAGCGTTAAATTCCTCACGCGCTGTTTTGCAAATGTACTCAGTCGTGATTGGCTGGCTCTGCTAAGAGATGATGTTTCAGATCCTACTCATCATTTCCCTCTGAAGTCTAACGCTCTGCATTCCTGTTGGGCGCTAATTGTATGTGGAAACTCTTGTGCTTTTAATGCCCAGTTAAGCTTTGTACATTTTGAAACCTTGCAGGAAGGAGAACTCTTCAGCAGCCATGGTAGAGGCTCTGGGGCATCCAGTTTTCTGAGCTTAGGAAAACAGAAAGTCTCTTCAGTTCATAGATCGTGTTGGACTTGCTCTGTGGTGAATTTCACTTTTCCTTTGATTTCTCCCACAGATGAAGGACTGAACCATGAATGCAAACTCTGCAATCAGACGTTCGACTCTCCTGCCAAACTTCAGTGCCACCTGATAGAGCACAGCTTTGAAGGCATGGGGGGCACCTTCAAATGTCCGGTGTGCTTTACAGGTAGGAGGCCATCACTGCTTGTCCCAGTCGTGCCCTTGGCTTGCGCTTGCAGAACTCCAGTTACAACTGTGTCATGTGCTGCCTTTAGGTCAGTTTTAGGAAGGAACATTACATTTGTGCTCATTAGTAATATTGATTAGAAATCGTTTAGAAAGCTGAGCTCCTCAGAGGTCAGGCATCCATCTGTAAGAACTGCATTTCAGGCTCATCCATCGGAAGTTTGAGGGTTTTATCATTACAGAAGTGATAGCCTGTTGCCTTCCACGGTATCACGTTCATTACCTTCATGTTCCAAACTTGCCGACGTTAAAACTGCCCATAAATTGGTGCTTTAAAACTACAGATGTTTCATCTGAAACGATGTAACTCAGAGCAAGGGCTGCTAGGCATAGCCTCTGCAGCAACATCCTCCTCTGATCGGGTAAGAAAGCCTGCTTGCGTGTGTTTGTTGGCTTGTGGTGAGAAGAAACACCCTTGTAATGTGCTTTAGAAAGCAAACCATGCAGTCTTGCCACAAGTCAAGTTCTGCTCTCCCCTGACACAAGTCCAAGTGTGGAATAATCCTCCCCGAGTCAGTGGTGTTTTTCAGTAGTAAAACCCAAGTGAGAAAATAACTTGACCCAGTAGGGCTAAGCACTGCAGTGTTTGGGCCATAATGAGGAACAGAAAAATGCTGTTGTTGGAAATGAAAACACATTAAAAGGATGCCTACAGAGTTGTTGTGAGTTTTCTAAGGACTTCTTAATAGAACATTTCATAAAATGATAACCTAAAACATAAGTGTTAATATGTAGCTTACATGCACAATTTTGCTTTACAAGATGAAAATCAAAGATAATCACAAACATGACAAAACACACTTTGGGTATTCTCGCATCAATGGCATACTAATTCTGGAAGCCATTCAAGGTTTCTGTTCTCCATTAATGGGAGTGAAGGATTTTCATTGATAGGCAAATAGACCCTTTAATACCTTCATTTTACTTCTCTTTGTTTGGCAGCTCCCCTCCCAATAAAACCTAAGGGCGTGCTACAGAGGAAAATTAAAGTTGAATTTTTTCATCTCCCAGATACAGTGGCTTGTGATGATTATTACCTCACTGCGTTCAGGTTTCACACATTTCTGCGGGTTATAAAATTAAAAAAATACATAGTTCATCTTCACTGCACAGCTTGTCATAGTGATGTCTGAGCGTGGATAGTACTGCCGTAAACAGTTTGCCTGTTAGGCGTCTGTGTTCAATAATTCTTTCAGTTAGATGTTTTTTCGGTTTTTCAGTTTTATTACTGAGTCTGCTAATTTTTTTCCCTTGTCTTTGTGTACACATTATGACCTGATCTTTTTTTTTAGTGTAATGCCATGGGTCTTTGATTTCCAAGTTTAAAGGAGTTGTAAATGCAATATCAAAAACTTGCATATGTAAGGAGTACCTGCTGATGGTTCTTCTTGTGAGCAAGATCCCTGACAAAACTAATCCTTTAATTTTTGATCCAGTAGCCTTGTAAAATGTGTTAAAGAGTATGGAGATAAGTCGATTCCAATCTGTGTGAAACACTTTTTCCTTTTTGCTGATGGGGTAAATAGACACCGAGCATTAATCATAAACAATGGTGTTTTATTAGCAATATGCCATTAAATTATTTCAGCATGTCTTGCTAGAATATTAACGAGAAGTAAAATCACCAATATAAGTTTTATAGGGAAAATGGAATCTGATCTTTTTTTTTTTTTTCAGGGTAATGAGAAATGTGATTAAAATGTATGACTCAGAAGAACAATATTCTGATGGATTTTGTTGCCTTGCAATTAGAATAATTTTAATGATTAGGAGTGGAGTCAAAGTCAAATGCCAGCATCTTTAATAAATCCTTTCCCTGCCTATACAGATTAATATTGTAGATGCAAACTTTTTTAGGTCACAGTGCACCAGGCATCCATCAGAAGTCAGTGCTGCCAACCCAAACACTGCCTCTGGCATATACAATTTAATTATTAATAGTATGTCTCCTAGGTAAACTGTTACACAGTCTTAGGGCCTTGTTTTGTAGTCATTAAAATTGAACATGTTTATATTATTGAAACCCTTGCATTCAGTGTGTAGGCAGAGTTGATCTTAAAGTATCCAAAGAGAATTTACCTGCAGTTCTGTTTCACATTTATAGACATTGCCCCAGTGTAGCTGTGGGATATAATTTTTAGCATTAACACATTTAAATACAGAGCTGTTTGTTAGCTTTAACTTTAGACACCCAGAGTAAACAGGACCTCGGCATCTGTGCTTTTCAAACCTGTTGGTTGCTAGGAAATAAGTTTTGTGTGTGTTCAGTCAAAGTGCAGCAAGCATGAAGGAATAATTCTGAAGAAAAAATGGCATTTTTATATTCTTTAAATTTGAAATCTTCATTGGTTGTCCTGTTAGGGTCTTTTTTTTTTTCCTTTGTTTTTTTATTTAAACCAGACATTTGTTTCAATTCATTCATTTTAGAAGAAGGATCACAGTTCGTAGATAAATAGTGTTCGTTGGTACGCATTATAGCAACAGTGTAATGTGAAATGAGAGCAGGCCAGCCTAATTCTGCCTCTTGGAATTGCTGAGTGTTAATGGGAAATTGTTTATAAAAAATTCTTCACTTGCAATATGAAATAATGAAAAGCCTGTTGTTTGTCTAATATTCCAGTGTTTGTCCAAGCAAACAAGTTGCAGCAACATATTTTCTCAGCCCATGGACAAGAGGACAAGATCTATGACTGCACACAGTGTCCACAGAAGTTCTTCTTCCAGACAGAGCTGCAGGTACCACACTTGTTACCTGGGGGTTATAATAGCATTATGTATTTAATAGCTGAGTTCAAAGCTTTACTTGCCGTGACCTCCTCTGATACTTTCTCATCATCAGGATGGGAATGAGGGAAGGACAAGAGAAATTGCAGGTGATCCAACCCATGCTCCTTCAAAAATGTGCTGGCAGAAAACCACCTGGTACAGACCTGAATTTCGGGAGCCACCTTTGGATTCTTGCTCTGTACATTGTTGCAGCTCAAGATATTCTTGAGGAGGGAGAAATGGGCATCCTGTTTTTCTGTTTGATATCCATAAAACGTTTACTCAAGCAGTGAAATGGAAAATAAGTGTATTCTTTTGTCTCTAAAGGTGAAAAGCTAAGCACTGAAGTGGGAGTGTAGAGATGAGGGGAGAGGGGAATTTATCTTGGTTTACCTGCTGGCCATTGCCCATTACTGACTTGGTGGGGGAAAAAAAAATAATAGGGTCAAATGAATGGTACACTGTCTTCTTGTGTGCCGTTGTCAGACTGGTAGTGATCTGTTTACTAATGCTAAACAAAAGGACCGAGAGGAAGAAATAAATGTAGAACAAGACCTAAAAACAATTTTGGGTGAAGGGATTATTTATTGTATATTAACATTCTGCACTGCTTGTCTTGCAATGAGAAGTGGTGGTGTGTTATTCCTGATGTGCTGTTACACTTTGAGACAGCAGCAGCAGATTGTTTCTAAATTATTTTAGCTTACATTGAAGTATTAAGATAGGTTGACAGAGGAAAAATTTTCAGAGTCTCTGATGGTCTATAGGAATGTAACAAAAAGTATTTGTACAATAAGGCCTTTCCTACGCTGTCTGCTATGTGATTTTTATTTGGAATGAAGAGATTTTTCAGCACTTAAGGTTTTTCAGTAGTTTTTTATAGCATGGGCCCCCATCTCTAAGTCCTTTGACTGAGATGTCCACAATTAATTTTGCATTGGACCAGAGCTGGGTTTCATCTCATCAACAGAGGCAAAAGGCTAGTGAGGCATATGCACACTTATGCCCATTTAGTATTTCAGTTACTGGAAGTTTTACACACTGAAAACCTGATATTAATGTTTGGCATGATGACGTGAAATATTTCTTTGGAGAAAAAAGACTTCAGAGTGTGTAAACCATACATGAATTCATTGTGTGAGAGATTGGTATTTATATCGATTGCACTGCATTTTCTATTTCCTAATTTCTTTCTGCATGAAAACAATAAGGAATAAAGCCTTTCTGATAGCCTTCCCTACCTCTTTCTTGGGGTACCCTAGGTCTTGGGAGCTCCTGTAGTACCTGCAGTACCAGACCCATAACACTCCAAGGTGCCTGTGCTGTCTCTCTCTCTGATTTTTAATAGATCCAAATCTGTTTCGTTTACTGTCTGCACCAGGTATTACATGCAAGCTCTGACCCAAAGAGGAAGAGGAGGACAAGGAAAAGAAAACAAAAAGTTGGACATTTAGGGAAAAAGACGTGCATACATAGTGATGGACAGAAAGAGGCGAGATTGAGTTTTGAAGTCAGAAAATAGTCTGGGTTGTGTAGAAAGTTACTGGACTTGTGGGAAAAATAAAGGAGAAGCTGAGTGGAATGAGGAAAGGTCAGAAACTAATTTTCTTGTATGTGTTTCTTTCACAGCATAATTTTTGTGGAATCATTTTCTTTGATTTTTTTTTGTCAAAATACTTGTTGGATTTTCTTGCAAAGTGTTTCCAATAAGGTGAAACTGCTTTTTTAGGAAAAAATATGTAAATAGTTTTGGCTTACTGATTCTCACAGATTCTGTTGTTCATCACTGATTAATCAAAATGAAGAAGTAGGGAGAAGTAGGGACATAAGCAGTTTCTGGAAAAAGAAAGGACAGATTTTTAGGAAAGAAAGACCAAATGGAAAAAAGAAAAAAAAAGAATCTCAGGAAGACAGAGGGTGCAGGTATGCAAGACAATTATGAAAAGAAAGAAATGGGGAAAAAGAGGATAGAAATTAGTTTTAACAGCAGAATTCAGACTGGATTTTGAAAAGGCAGAATAGGTAACTGAATTCTGAAGATGCAAATTATACAGACATCCAGGTGTAGTTGTGATGTGTACAATCACCTCCTTACTCATCTGTCCCCCCTAAAATAAGGCTTTCATTTCAAAATACACAGAGTCCCAAGCAGCTGCTTTCAGCTTTTTCGTTGTAATAAAAACACGTTTTTCCACTCAAAATTCATCCCTGCCCAAGACTGAGGGTAAGATTTTGCTTTCTCTATCTAGGCCTGGTTCATTAAAACGTTAATGTAACTGAGGCACCTGGTTTTCTAGTGACGGAGACAAAAGGATTTCGCTACAGAGAGACAAATTATGCTCTACATTGGCTAGGTGACAATCAGTGTGTTGGTTGTTCCATGCCACAGAAGGCTTTTAATAGTCCACATCTCCATACCCTTAGAGACAGCCTCTCTCTGGCTTATCTACACTTACAAAAAGGAAAAGGTATTCATTTTCTTATTCACTTAATTCATTATGCTTATTATTTTAATTAACTTGGGTAGCCCCACCCCAGTTAAGAATGCATTATGTTTAAAAAGATGCAGTACCATGATGCCATTTGCATTTATTTGTTGGGATCACTGGCTTTCGGCTCTTACCTCCAGTTATCTACCTAGGCTGGTGAAAGGGCAGCAAAGCACTTAGGCAGAGCAGTAGGTACTGACCTTTGGAGTCTGCTTTTGCTGAAAATACATTGATCTCCAGCCCACTCTCATATAAAACCTATTCTAGGAGGCATTGCTTTGTTCAGGCTATCTACCAGCTGAAGCAGTGGAATCTTAGGCAACTAGCCTCCAGGTTTTGTTTCTCTGTCCTTTCATATTACTGTGGTTTGTGTTGGGGCTTGCAGCTTAACAGTATGTTTATTCTCTCTGTCAGGAACAGTTCCTTGCTTTTAATTTAAACATGAATCTAAAGTGCATCTCCCATGCATGAGAGGTGCTAATCATCTCAGAGTAGAAGCCATGGACAGCACTCCATGGCTGTAGGGCAGAGTAAGAACATGAACAAGGTAGGGCAGAGCAGAACACACCACCATAGAAGCCCTATCCGCACATATAGTACAGCTGATAATTAAAGGAAATTAATTCAGGGATGCAGGAAAGAAATGCATTATAATAATGCTTAACTTGGTGTTTGGCCCAGTGCGATTCTTTGCTCAGCATTTTCCGACTCCTGTTCCGGGAAGAGTAGTCTGTGGCAACATAAGAATACCCACATAGTATGTTCATCTCACCCTGGGGAAGGTACCAATCTTCTCATTACCAATCTCGTCAATGCAAAAACCAAGTAGGACTCTCTTTAGAAGTTTCCCTGATTTCACTCCAGACCTCTGTTAGGAATGCAAGACGATCCCATAGGATCACATTCTGGTGAGAACAGAGTGTAAATGACCCGTCCTGAAAATCAAACCTGCAATGTATTACTCAACCTTTAAGTTGAAATAATGAGATTTTGCAGGAATTTGCTCATTAAGATCGTCTCGATAACTCGCCCTTCTCCCACTTTTGACACTTCCTTTAAATGGCTTTGGGCTCCATAGCTATTGAACCAGCTTTAAAATTTTGGAGATACTTCCCCCATAGAAAGGAAGCAAATGGAAACCTTCTGTTACAGTTAGAAGTGTGTGTTTTAAGACTGTTCCGAGTTGTGAATTTTCGTACTTACGTGTTGAAAAGGCTATGTAGTGTATTTACACTTCTGAAAGAGAGTTGAAAAATTATGTCCCTAAAAATGTTTCTTCTTTAGAATGGAAAGCTTTTAAGACAACATGCAAATACAATAAGGGCTTTTCAGAAATAGGCTTGTAACAATCTTTAAAATCAGAAATATACCCCATCTAGGTATCATATAAGGAATCTGCAAGGTAGGTGTATTTTTAGGGTGCCTAGATGTCTCCCAAAAGTTGAAACTCTTCTAACTGAACACCTGGAGTATGACCATAGAGTTCTCTGTATAGGGTGGATATAACTACAACAATATTCTCCATCCATCATCCATAATACCGAACTTTTAATTAATAAGGATGTAAAGAAACATCACTAATTTAACTTAATATAGAACTTCCATTAAATTACGATAAAGTAATTTGTGCCTATTAAAACTTCCCTTTCTTGTCCTCATGCTGTTTCCAGTGCCTGTTTCTTTTGCCTTAGTCTTTGGACTTAGGCTTAGGTGTTTGAACGGGTGTTTGTGCTTCCCTTGTCTCTGATGAGGAGTAGCCATTCCTTTCCTGTTGCCAGTCCTAGTGTCACTTACCATGGTCAACAGAACATATTGTGGTGTTTGTGGGGAGGAATGAGACACTCTTGTGGGACGTTATCCAGAGCGAAGGGATTCATTTTAGATTTTTTTTTTCAGATGTTGCTGGGTCAGAGAGGTACCAATGTCTGGTAGAATTGCTGAACAACTGTACAGGTTTTGTCAGTGTTTTATCAGTGATGATAGTTAGTTCTGAATATGATGCTAGCCAAGATTACATGACCTCTCAGGACCATTTTACCCAGTACAAAAATTATATCTCTTTTTGGTGAATTAGAGCATTTATTTAACATTTTGTGACTAATAATTAGTTGCCCCTGGGGTAGTTAAGTGTCCTCACTTTACAGACATGAAAACTAGGGCAAGGAATAATTGGATCAGCAGTTGCTTCCCATCCTGTTCAAAAGGGACCTGGCCTCAGTGATTCACACCCTTGCTGCTTCCCGTCTGGACTCCATCAGCGCAGAATACCTGGGCATGAAGCCATCAGCCTGTAGGACGTTCCAGCTAATACAGAGCTGCAGCACTGTTCCTCGGTAGCAAAGGAAACTGGGAGCTTATTCAACCTGCTCTCATGCTCTCTGCACTGCCTTTCGACATGTTTGTCCGGTCGTGCTCTAAGACTCAATCCTTAATATTCTTGTTGGACTGGGTCCAGCACATCGCAGAGATCACCTGAGAAGT